ACATAAATTATACATATAAAAGAAAATATTAAAATCTGTAAGTAACCATACGTTATCAATTGTTACAAACTGGTTGCATCGAGTCTTTTGTAAAGGCCTCAATTTCGACCATGCAACAACCATACGGATCACATTCTCTTGTCGGGTACCAAAAAAACTACTCGCAGGAAAAGTTTCAAGAATTCATATCTGAAAAAAATCATTTATTAGAATGTTAGCAAAAAAAAACTAATAAACTGTTAATCATGTAATTACATTGAAAGCGTATAAAACCCGTTTAGGATGTAGGTCATTTTTTTGAGGTTGTTTCTCTTTCGGTTTCCACTGGATGTATATGCTTGTCAACCTTATTGAATACAGTAATTAGTTGTGAGTACAATCGATCCCAAATTACCCCCCCCCCCCCCCATGGATATTTACGACATAAAAAAACTCTCAATTAAATTTCTAAAAAATATTACTAATGATAAATAATTAACCTTAGTTATAATCCGTAATAACTTAACTACAAGAAACATGTTGAATTCATCAAAGTCGGATACCAAAGCCAAATACTCCTCTATAACAGGCTATTTAGCCAACCGCCCATTCAACCCTGTAACACCCATAAAAATCAAGCCAATTTAAAACTTCTTCAAACATCCAAAAACCATTAGTTATTACAAAATGTTTTCAAAATAGTTTCATATCAGAGTATCCCAGAAACCATAAGTCCAAAATGTGAGGATGTGTACGGTCATGCCTTCGCCTTGCCGAGACATGTGAAGCACCTGAAAAAATAAACTGAAACCGTAAGCACAAAGCTTAGTGAGTTCCCCCAAAATAACCATACACACAACAATACGCATATAATCACAAACAACGTACTATGGGTCCAATCAACCATCGGGTTGGAACCCAGGCCCTCAACCATCGGGTTGGAATGCCAACATACTTTGGGTCCAGTCATCCTCGGGATGGTATACCCTCGACCCACAACCATCGGGTTGGAATGCCCACATACTACGAGTCCAATCATCATCGGGATGGAATACTCACAGCCCACAACCATCGGGTTGGAATGCCCACATACTACGAGTCCAATCATCCTCGGGATGGAATACTCACGGCCCACAACCATCGGGTTGGAATGCCCACATACTACGAGTCCAATCATCCTCGGGATGGAATACTCATGACCCACAACCATCGGGTTGGAATGCCCAGGTCTGTTGGCTCTCGCACAAAGCAGATAAGCCTCAACCACCAATCAAACATGTACACATATAACAGATAATTACACAACAGTTTATAGACAAACAAACCGATCTAACAGATCATAACAGCATAATAACATCCTATCTACCAGGATACCGATCTAACAGATCATAAAAGCATAATATCATCTGATCTACCAGGATACTGATCTAACAGATCATATGATACTCGAACATATAACATATCAGGATAACAATCCAAAAAGGGCCGACCTTGGTGCCTTAGACCCTTGAGTATAGTGAGGAAAACTCACCTCACACTGCTGAAGTCCTGCGGACAAAACCCTAGCTGCTGGATAACAGATTCTCGAACTGTCAACATCAAACAACACCCAATTAATAATTGGGTTCCAAGCCCAAGGTCCAACTCACACTCCAAAAGCCCAAAAGTCAATCAATGGACCAAAGCCCAACATATGGCCTAATTTTCCAAATTGGGCCCGGACCTCTACATGGTCTTACCCTAAGGCCCAACCATTTAGTCCAGTCCAAACATTCGGCATTTCAATTAGTCCAGCCTCTCATAATCCTCAAGGCCCAGTTATGGCCCAATTTTCCAAATTAGGCCCAAACCCTCACATGGGCCTTACCCTAAAGCCCATCCAAATATTTTAGTCCATTTACTTGTTCTTGGATAGCCCATCAGTAACCCAATCACCAAAAACCAATAGAAAGGCCCAACTCAAGGTCCAAGTGAAATTTGGGTTTTCACATGAAATGACGATTAGGGTTAAGTGTTCCTACTTAACTCATTTAGGACTTAATCCATTCAGTCCAATATTGCCTTAGGTTAATTGCAATGATTATTAATTAACATTTTTAGTCCAATAAATAATTCCAGTGCGAGTCCCGATACTTTCCCAAAATTAGGGTTTCATGACATTAGGGTTTTCAAAACCCTAATTAGGGTTTCCAACCCAAATACTAGCCCATTAGTCAAATAGTTAGGCTTTTAGGTCAATTAGGGCTTCATTAGGCCCATTAGGGTTAAGCAAGTCGGGCACCACCCACTACCACCTCGGGTAGTGGCGGTGAACGGCGGCGGCCACCACCTTGCGGTGGTGGTTATGATTCTTAGCTAAAACTATTCAAGCATCCCAAAATAACAATAACACACACAAAAGCACACAGCCACCCAAGGTGATGGCTGGTGGCGGCAGAATGGCGGCGTGAGGTGGAAACCACCACCTCACGGCGGTGATGGGTTGTTTCTTTGATTATTCTGGCCATACAATACAATTTACATCGAAATATCCGAATAAACACACAAACATAAAATAACACACACACACAGCCGCACTGTGGCGGCAGGCGGTTGTCGGAGGTGCTAGCCACCACCTCACGGTGGTGGTGGTGACCCTCTTGTGATTTTCCGGCCAAGAACTGCACACACACACACACGCTCTTCTGTTTGTTGTTTGTGAAATAGATCCAGCCGCCCACCTGGTGGCGTACGGCGGAACAGCCGCTAAAGCGGCAACGACAATGGCGGCATAACAGCAACACAGGACGAAGAGTAGAGGTGATGTGATCCTTCACCGAGGGCAGTAACAACGAATGAAACCAGAGTGTTTCTTCCGTCCCAACAGCGGCCAGCGACGGCAGAGCTTGGTGGCAACGCAACCCGACAACGATAACGACAACATGACAAACGACGGCTCGGAGGAACGAAGGAACAACGGTTGAGAAAGCAACAACAGCAACCACGATATTGAGCTTCAATCCCATCGTCAGAGTTGTGATGGCAGTCATTCGGTGGTTCAAGGCAGCGACGAAGAAGTTGGTGGCGGCTGGAAGATGGAGGGATAAGGTGGTGGTTCTCCGACTCCAACAGCGGTGGCGGCGCCGGTGGTGAAGGGGGCATAAGGGTGATGGCGGTTGATGAAGTTAACATTAGGCTTAGGGTTTATTACTTATATATGGAGGCAGCTAGGAGGGTGACGGGTTCATACCCGGTTATGTACATATTCCCCATAATTACATTTCCAACCCCTCCATCCTAATTCTCTTCAAATGAAGTCCATAATTTACCCTTTCAGCCCTCAACATTCCGAATTCATTTCAATTTAGGTCCGATACTTACCAAACAACCCTCCACTTTGAGAATCTTTTGCAAACTAATCCAAATTTTACCTTTTTAACCCCCAACTTCTAAATTATGCCGGTTAACTCCACGAAACCAACACTTTGCTATATAATTATTGATTTTAGGGCTACTATTCATTCATTAATTTGTTTATTTATTTATTTAATAAACGGGGTGTTACAAACCCCTTCTCTAACATATATACGAGACATACACGGACCGTATCCTCATCCGATAAGTTATTAAGCGAATGCTCAAAGACATTCTTCACATCCTCTAATTTGACGGTGACATTCCTTGTGACCATATGAAACGCACGAGAACGGAAGGTGGCGTCGGAAGCGGACGCATGAAAATAATCTCCAAAACGGAAGCCGGTAAAAAGACAAAATTCTTTCTTCCCAAAAGATAGCTCGTAACCCCCACTCTTAAAAACCATTTCCTCTACTTCGCTTCGGGGGTCCGTGATAACTTCGTGGCAATAAACATAATGTAGAAGCACAAAATCTCAATCTACATTAGGAATGTCTAACCATCTCCCAAAACATGTATTCTGAAACATAGTCTCGTATGTTGGTCTGTCTCTCAATGCCACAAGAATTTCCATGCTAATTTTGGGTTTACAGAACAGTGTAATGGATGCATCCAAAACCTTGTTGTGTTGCACAAATAAAAAAGTTGTTATAACCCAACTTCAGAACGAAAATTGACCAATATCCCGGACCAATTCCTCGTGTTCCGGACCAGTTCGTTGTGTTTCGGATCAGTTTTTCACATTCTGGAGCGTTCTAGAATACATTAGGAATGTCTAACCATCTTTCAAAACATGTATTCTGAAACATAGTCTTGTATATTGGTCTGTCTCTCAATGCTACAAGAATTTCCACGCTAATTTTGGGTTTACAGAACAGTGTAATGGATGCTTCCAAAACCTTGTCATGTTGCACAAAAGCCAACTTCAGAATGAAAACTGACCAATATTCCGGACCAATTCCTCGTGTTCCGGACCAGTTTTTCGCATTCTGGAGCGTTCCAGAATGAAATTTTATGTTCCGGAACACTATATTTCGATGTAAACTAACAATACCTAAACATCTAAACTACTTTTGGGTTGATCCTACCGCAATTGCATCTTTAATTAAAAATTCCATAATGTTTTTGGTTCACTCTAGTGGTGTTCTACACATTCTAGAACAGTAGTTCTCGGTGAATAATCACGTTATACAAACAAGCAAATTAAGTTTTGGAGTGAAGAACGTACTCGTAAATAATCGGGTCGTAGTGGTCATCTTCCATGTCGGAGTTACGTGTCGGAGATCGGAATCAAAATCATAATCGTGTGTCGGAAAGTCGGAGCAAGATCCGGAATGAAGTCGAGGGTCCGGATGTTTTCAAAATATATTCCGGATTTTGAAATTCAAAGATCTGACCCGGAACACGTATGAAAACTCCGGAATAAACATTCTGGAAAGAACGAAATGGGTCAGCCCATCCGAAAACGAGTCTGAAAAACATTCCGGAATAGCCCATTTCGAAGAATGTGGTGATTTAAAAAAAAAAAGTTATATCTTTAAAAAAACACAAATAAAAAATGGTTATTACCAAATAGATAAAAGAATATCTTAACGTTATTTGTATTATTAATCTAAAAGAGAGAAAAATAAGTTACAACTTCAATGAAACATTCTTGTATATCTATCCATAGTGATACTCAAAGCATCTGTGTGAAGCTCTTGCAGCACACCAACGATCTTTTGAGTTTTTGAGCTCCCCTTGCTTTCGGATCAAATATTCTCGATATCAAATTGAATCCAATACACCAAGAAATCGACCCCCTTTTCCCACTCTTTCATCTCAAAAGTTCAATCAAACTTTCCCAGAAATTTCCCCCTTTCTTCTTGAAGTTAAAGATAATGCCGATGGAAAAAGAACAACCCATTCCTCCGCCGGTGATCGGAAAGATAGGCTATTACACCGTATTCGTTACTCCTACTCCTAAATCCTCATCTGAACCGGATTCCAATTCTCAGAAGAAAACGAGCTTTTCTCCCGTTCAGCCGCCGCCGGTTCACTACGAGAAGACAGCTTCGTCATACGGCGCAAACTTCGGTTTCTTCTGGGACGCCATCGCCAAACTACAGAATGGTATCATTCTTATAGCTTTCGATTTGATTTTATCAGATTTAGAGTGAAACTGAACATAGAAATTGTTACGGATATCTTGTCGTTTACCAAAATATAGCTCAGATTTGTTGTTTAGTTGCTTAACTTTCTTCTTCTTCTTCTTCTTCAGTTCTTCTTCTTCCTCTTCTTCTTCTTTATTGTTTGATACCTAATCATTGATGAACTTTTGTTGCTTTTTGTCTTTTCTATGAGTAACTTTTTCTCGTAGATGTGCATCTAATTTCATCCTCTTAGAACAAATGAGGGATAACAAAGTTTAAGATCAAGTACTTGCTAACAACATTTATTAATCCAATCTCTGAAACCATCTCTATTAAACACATTTAGATCGGAAACATCTAGTGGGTTCCACAACTTCAATTCCATACCATAAAAGGAAGATAAGATTAATGAGAAAATTTTGTATTATTGTCTGTTAGCGTGATGAAATCTTTTGATGTGAAGATCAATTATGTAATCCAGGTGATACGTCAATGGTTGTTCATGTTAATCCTTTCTGTTACAGTGCATTCAAGTTTGGATGACTATCTTGCACATTGGTTTGGGCTAAATCAATCAAAATATCAGTGGGCTTTGGATGATTATTATGAAAACGAGAGCATGGTATGTTTATTTTTCCATTTTCTTTTTCTTTTTTCTTGTACAAATTTCTACTTTTTATGCCGAATTTATGAATCACTCATAAGTTTGCCTTTCTTATTTGGTGTCGGTGGGGTGGGTCCACCATTGCATGCAATAACCTTATCTTTATGCCAAAAATAATGTGCCATCTTTTGTTATAAAAAAAGTACCATTATTGTTTTTCATTATTGATATTTAATTCTTGTGGAACGTTATTAACCTCAGGAGAAAGGTGACACAAAAGCTACAGATATACCAAGCAAAGCACAAAGTGTTTAACTTTGTTTACTAGGTAAGCTGTTGAACACTTGTTTTTCTCTTAACTTTAGTATATAATGATTACAAAAAGATCAAAAAGTTATTACCCATTTACCTTAAACAATCATCTTCTTTTTGACAATTTTTCTCTATAATATTAATTAACAAAAAGAGTTAGGTGACACAATGAAATTTCTTGTGATTATTTGTCTAACGCGCAAATTGCAGGAAATAGCAATGTACTCTAAAATCTTTTTACCAATATAAGCAATGTATTTTGTTTTTAACCCGAAATACCAACATACTTATATTTCTTTTGTTTCATTTTTTTTGCATGATAGGTTTTGTGCAAGGGCATTTTGGGGACCATTTTGTGTGAAAACATAACATCACATGTGGGAACTTTAATTGGTTATATCGGATCAAATGTCCAAATTTACAGTGATCTGATCATGATTCTTTTAGTTTAATGCAAGTAGGGGGGCATGTAATCTTTTGATGATTATTACGATGTTTTAGCTTAGCAATGGCCAAGATAGTCTAATGGGGTGAATTTTAGCTATATATATATTTTCTTGTTCCATTTGTATTTATTTCCGGTTAAAAACGAGTGGAAGTTATTTAATATAGTAATTTTCACCAGGGTAAAACCATAATGGTTATAATTTCTTAGCAACTTGTTGATGACTTCTTGTTTGATAGTTACTAGTCTAGTTTCTCTTTTGTAGTTGTGATAAAGGTAGACATACTTTTTACATGTATGGCTTTAATTTCTATAAGAATTAACCAAGAAAAAAAAATGTGTCATTTGTTTGTTCATCAAACGACACTTTTCCTCCCTGTGTTTATGTTGTTTTCTGCCGGAAAACACCACAGCCACCAGCCGCCTTCTCCACCCAATCAGGTACTCTCTTCATTGTTCTACTTTTTCAATAGATTTTGCCTCTTTATTTTGCAATTATAGAACCCTAATTTCATTGTTTGACTGATTTTGACTTATTTCTTGTGTGTGCTATTGATTTTGTGTATATGCTACTCATATGATATGTCTAGGCATTGGTTATGACTCAATTATTAAGGAATTAATGCATTTATGCTGCGATGTGTTTGATGCTATTATGATATGATGCATTTAGGGATTGTATTGAGTTAATTATATTGTAATGGATTAATGAGATAAGCCCTAAAGTGTTTTTTTTTTTGTTATGACTTAATAGTGAAAGACTTAATGCATTTGTGCTATGATATGTCTGATGCTATGATGTGTTTGGGTTATTATATGATATTATGATATGATGTGTTTCGTGACTTAATTAGATAAGCCATAAATTTTAACGACTTAATTAGATAAACAAACATTCCCAAACCAACAAATCTAATATCCTATAACATTTGGGTTTCACTAAAAAACAAAAGCAACATAATATTTATAGTAACATGCTATAATAGAAAAAAACAAAAATAGGATGCTATAATTCACAAAAATATGAAATTATTAAGAAAATCAAATTTAACATGACACTGTTTGAAGCTATTGCAACAATTTTATTGATTTTGGGTTTCCTTTAGAAAATAAAAAGACAACAAAACATTTATGTGTTTTCGTTTTACCCATCACGAGCTTAGAAATACTCACCCACAATTGATTTATAAATTAAATCCACGTTTTCCCCATTGTTGATTTGGGGATTATTAGCGTCAAGTACACTATCTAAAGGTAGTGGAAATAATCAAAAGATTTACCTAAGTGTACATGCATCCTAGAATCTAGGTTTTACTAGTTATAACAATATACTTTAAAAATCAACAAAAGAAAGAACTACTAACCTTTGGTGTACTTGTTTGTGATTTCGTACGTGCCAACTCGTTGTAATGATAAATGATCCAACATAGCACCCCTCTAATGGAATCTGACCCACAACACCAAAAGCAAAAGGATTAAACCCATACTAGGGTTTTTACGAAAATCACCAACCCTTAGGAGAGAGGTTTTAAATTCAGTCAAGGAGAGAAAAAGGCAGGGTATGGACGAATTTTGTGAGCGGATTGACAACTCGATGGTTTACCCCTAGCAATCTATTTATAGGCTACAAATAAAATCCTAAAATGATTCAAACTTTAGGGTTAATCCTTAGCTAATTCAAATCAGTCATATCCCTATCTAGGGACATACCAATTCGTTTTTGTGCAATCAATGTACAACCAACTCATAGTAACAACTCATATCTCTAGGTTTGAAAAATATAAAATATTATCGTCTCATGATCACTCGTGATAAAATCCATGAAGTGATTCCAATGAGCGCGGGTTGAATCCAATACTCAGAACTTATGAGCACTCATGAGTGTTGTAGCCCTTTGTCCAACATCTTAGACCTCTACAAGCCAACCCATGACAATCTTGATTCATATCTACTTCCAACATATGACCGACTGTGGATGGTTTGAATAACTTAGTCATTCAGAACAATGACCTAGTTATTCTGGAAGTCAAAACATGCAAAGTGAAACACAATAATAATCGAATCCAATATGGTCTCAGAACCTATGAATATAAATAAAACACATTTTATTTATCACCATATGATTACACATTATTCATTGTATACTGTTTCAGCTATCAACTTTATTCTTGAATTTAAAACAATAGTTGTCCCATGCTCCAAGCATGTACACTATGTTTTCTAAACACTAGTCATGTCATACACCAAGTATGCATACTATGTTTGTCTAGGATCTTTACTTTGTGAACTAAATCGATTGAACATAACTTCAACGATTCTCTTTTCACACTCCCAAATCCCTACTGCAAATGCAAGAATTCCAAATTCATGCCATTTACTAAAATCTGTTAGATTCTAAAATTATATGCATTGATCCTCTTGTAATGATTATGCACAAAGTCAGAAAGACTTGACAACAACCATTACAGAGCATTCCAAAGGAGATCAACTCCTTGGAAACATCCTTCTTGCATTAAGTTTCCTAATCTTACACATATTGAATAATTTCTAACTTTGAAACATTTCCATATTCCATTTTGACTATCACTTCTGAACAATAGTTGCCTCCTTACAGATTATGTCAATATGGTCCTTCCAGAATTATCACTATACTTCCAACTGTCCTTGAGCAACCAATATTTGCTAAACCTTAGATTGTCCTCGACAATTGTTTAATCCTTTTAGTCATATCCAATTCTAGACCTTTTCCCTTCTTAATGCCCCAGGCATTTGGAAAATTTTAGAAAGGATAAATATAGCACATGAAATCGATCCTATATCCGAAGCATATGGGACACGATTCATGATGTCTCACATAAAGACTAAACCAGTCTTTTGTTATAATATTTCCATTTCAATTTGCCAAGTTCTCATAATTCAGATTATGAAAAGGGATGCCGTAATCATAATCGAATTTTAGAACGCAAATAATGGACCCATATATAGATTTTTCTTATGTTGAGCCATTCCAATATAACATTCATATATATATATATATATATATATATATATATATATATATATATATATATATATTCTGGACTAAATACGATTAAAACCTCAATCTAAGCTTTTAGATTTGAGATGAAGTATAATTTCCTCTCCCTTAATTATAGCAAAACAACTTTTTCCCAATTGAGACCTTTTGTTTTCTATAATTAACATTGCTAACTTGCAACCTTTATCATAATTATCATGCTCCCACTAACATGATGATTATTAGCATAACACTTATGCTCCCACTAGCTTTGACATGTACTCAGAAATCAGCTGGACTTCTAGAAATCAATACTTTATTGACTTTCTTACCAAAGTTCAGATTTCTGATACTAGATTGCTTTGATAAAACTTTATCATAATCATACACCTTATCTTAGATAGCTCACAGATGTGTCTACACAATTTCAGAACTATGAAAAGGGATGCCGTAATAATAGTCTCAATTGTTTACACCTTTGCCACTTCTCACAAGTCTATGTTAGTGTGCCGGTAAACCACACACGCTCCACTAACGACTTTGACAATGCAAATATCACAATTGCTATCTACTTAAAAAATCTACTTAGTGAAAGTGTTTCCTCATCATCATTTTCATGAATCGGAGAGAAACCTTATGACACTTAGATTTAATGGCGTATGTGTTCTTATCCATGTGAATTGTCAAAACCATAGTCACAAGACAAGGATAATGACAAATCCAAACTCATATGGACTGAACTCAATCTTAATTTCTTGCCATCTGGCAGCTCAAGGGCCTGCCATTGCTTCCAAGTTGATATGCAACCAATTGAGAACTCTAAGAACTCATATGCAAAGCCAACTTTAATTGGAATGGGCACATAATATGTCAACACGATAGGTTATAAACCTCACGTCGTGTGCTAGCGATAAACTTCAGGTTTTATTCTTGATTAGTTCTTGAGACTTTCAAGACCTTTAAGACTCCCACTGTCCTCTTGACATATAAGACGCCCTTGTCAAACATCCAAGAGATAGTGCGGATTCTAATCAAGACAAACACTTCACACAATTGGCCTTAGTTGGTCTTTATTTTATCCAAAACATCACAACTTACCAATTTCAAATGTACAAGAGTAGAAAACTTTTACTCTTACATTTGACAAGTGTTTTAAACCTTCTTTAAGACATGTCACTCAAGTTACAATTTTAGAGTATAACTCTAAGAATTGTTTTTGGAATGAAGTATGAATCATCTTCTTGATTTAACCACTTCAACAATTCATAACTCCTCTTCTTAACTATCAGAATGCACTTAGAGGATGAATTGTGATAAGGTCTCAAAATCATTAAGATGGTCTTAAAACATGATACTAAGGTACTCTCCCATCTATTCAGATTTGAGAAACTTTTATCTTTCTGCCTAAGTTGATTCTTCTTATTCGCTCTGTCATACATTGGAACCTTTTTCCAATGTCTCAGAATTACACTTAAGCTTGTAAGTGTAACCATATTTACTGAAATCTGTAGTAAATTATGACGAATAGTCTTATCGATCTTTTGTGGTGGACTTAACCAGTGCACAAGAATGTGTACCCGATCTCTTAGTCCTTTACTTGACTCACACATCCATGTGAACAAGTAGTTAGTCTTAATTTTTCCAATGCTTGAAAGTTCTCATTCATCATGCTATACAACTTGCATGATTCCAAGTTTCTATCCAACTGATACTTGGGTGACGAAAATCTTTCCTTATTTGGTAAATTTAGACATTACCACAAATGAGAGAATCAAATTCACTTTCCAATATTGCTATCAGTGGAATCTTATAAGCAACAATTTTCCACAAAAACCATTGTAAGGATACATAAAATAACTAAAATCAAAAGACTTACCATTTATTTTAAAACTTTGCGGAAAAACTTATCCTTACAATCCATATGAAAACTTGTTGTTATCTATTCCTAAGCAATATCTCATAACTCCTAAGAAGTAGCTCAAGAATCCGATCTTCAAACTATGCAATAGAAATCCATCTACGCGATCAGATTCAGCATATTCTTTCTTTAAGTTCCTTCACTTTTCTTTGATTCTTAAAACCATCAACATGTGACCTAGTCACATCATGTATCAAGAATCTCAAAATAGAAACTTAG